GGAGGGAGGGACAATGACACTGCTCGGTGCTCGACCCTGCTGAATATCAGGTACCTCCTCAGGCCCAAGTAAATGAAGCTAAATAACTTGTAGTGACCCCCCAGTGGAGGGGGACCAGAGCTGTTGCTAGAGCCCAATATAAGGTAAAAGCGAATTCCATGGGACTGTGTGGGAGTCACCCCTTTGGTAGACTGTTTTGATTGGCTCAATCCTGGCACTTTATTGGAAGTGGCTTTGGATTAATGTTGCGATGCTTCACCAGGTGAGAAATACCTAGAAAGCAGTTTATTCATATTTTAAAAGGCATTTCCAGGTAAGCATACAGCCCAGTTTGCAATTAGATTTTCAGGGGGCATCAACATGCCTAGAGCAGGGCCGGCTCCAGGCACCAGCCCAGCAAGCAGGTGCTTGGGGCCGCCAAGGGGAAGGGGCGGCACGTCGGGCTGTTCGGCGGCAATTTGGCGGCGGGTCCCTCTCAGAGGGAAGCACCTGCCGCCGAATTCCCGTCGAAGAAGAAAGCGGCGCGGTGGAGTTGCCGCCGGAGTGCCGCCGATCGCAATTGCAATCGCGGCTTTTATTTTTTTCCCTGCCACTTGGGGCGGCAAAAACCCTGGAGCCAGTCCTGGTCTCGAGAGAGAGAGAAGGAAGTGTCACAAGTGGGTGGATACACTCTTTCTTTCTTTCTTTCTTTCTTTCTTTCTTTCTTTCTTTCTTTCTTTCTTTCTGCCTTATGCTACTATAGACAGATTGGTTTGGTTTGGTGCAAAATAGTGTTAGCATGGCTACATGCAAGGAGAGCCTTCGGTATTGGCATGCGGTTGTTATCCATAGCCAGGCACACAAGTAAGTGTCTCCGGGGCTGTATTTGTTGCAGGCAGAAGTGTAAAGGACTGGGCCAGTCAGTGCACAGTATGCATATATGGATGATGGGCTGGTGTCCCTCCTACAAACAGTGCAGTGTTGTTTTAGGCTGGGGTTACTTGTCTCTGTTGTGTGGGCGATGTTTGATGCATGTATTAGTGGAAGCCTGGAACCTCAGGCCAATCCTGGGAGTGGTGAACCTGAACTGGGGTTAGTTCCATCTTTTTAAGGCTTTTTATTTTCCATGGCTGCATCTCAGCTTGTTGGATTGATTCCCTTATGGACCATGGAGCAGGTAGTACTTTGGTAATGCTTTTGAAGCAGCACACTTTGTTTCTATGAAGATTTTGGGGGAGTGTATCCTCTGGGACATAACAGGTTGGGATCTGGGGGGAAGTTTCATGGTATTGATCTTGGTGGGATAGTAGGAAAGGAGGAACATACGCACATTACATGTGGGGAGCACCTGATCCAGTAGGTTAGGTATTTAGGCAGGCTGGCAGAGGGTCACTCCCCTATATTCTTTGCTATCAAGTTGAAATTTTTATTTAATTCTGTCCTGTTTCTCTTTCCTAAATACAGCTTGCTGGGAATATCAGAGTAGATATTGGAATATGAATTGGGATCTTGGAAGGGCATTCATTTTAATGAATTCAGCTCTGCCTGTTAAAATTAGAGCTAACCCTGACCATCCACCTCATCATCTGTAATTTGGTCTGATAACTGGAGGTAATTTGTAAGGACTTTTGGCCTGGGTGTATTGTTGCTTCAGGATCTCAGCAGCCATTTTAGCTCCACTCACCCGCCTCCCGGCTTCCCTGAAGCATCTGGCCTCTTACCTCAGTTTGGGATTTATTTTATAACCAGAAATTAAGCTGAATTTCTGTATTAACTAAAGACTATAAGTGCCAAAAATCAATTGGATGCTGTTAGCATGGCAACATACGCCTTCCTGCCCATTCACAACCCCAGGGATGCCTTTTAAAGTTACGGCCATCCAATCAGGTTCAACTGATGTTTGGTTTGTTGCAAGCTTTGCTCTGCCCGAGTAACTGTCTGGCAAACATTAAACTTTGATTTAAGGGATGTGCAAGTTGTACTGAAAAATTCACTTGGTCCATGAGAAAAATACACTGCACATTTCTATGCGCTTTGCATTGAGCACAGGTCTGTGTCTGCCAGTATCGCCCATGGGGCGTGGTGGTGAGATCTGGCCCTCCCAGGGTCAGAGACAGAGATCCTCTAGGCAGTAAGCACCCCGGCACCAACTGATCCCTGGAAGTAAAACTCCTTACCCCAGGACTATTACAGGAGGGATGCAGGCCCAGCAGGGGTTACGAAGTTGGGTAGCCAATAATACCCTGCCAGTTAATCCAACAGGAGATATACAACCTGCTGCTGCCTCTTGGGAAGGTCACGGGAGCAGGCCAGACTGCCAGCAGGAGGTACATTCCGGCCTTGTTTTCTTCCTTTGCTTGCTACAGTTCAATGACTGGGGAAGGGACTCTTAGCCTAGGTCTCAGGGTGAAGAGATCCCTGCTCGGGAGTGGGTTTCTCTCTGTTCTGTTGAAGGCCTGATAAATAGAGCACCTAACAAAGGAGAGCATCAGGAGTCTGACTGTGCTGGGGGCCTTGGCAGGGCTGGGACCATGCCACGGGAAAGGTTCACCCATCAAAGACTAGCAAATCCACTAGTCAAAGGCTGCCTCCAAAGTTCAGGGTCCCTGCACCCATGACAACGTGGCAAGAAACCCAGTCTCCCCACTCCCATCTGTGAGGCAGGGAAAGGTAGTGGGATTCCCACCAAGGAGCTAACCCTGGACCATGCTTGGGCAGGGGAGCTGCCAGTTTCCATAGGATCTCCAGTTAGTAGGGCTGTGATCCACCTGAAACCTTGTCTCCCCTCCCCCTGCTGGATGGGAGAAGAAATCATCCAGGGCCTCCTGACTGTGGTTGCTTCTCTGCCCTTTCCCCAGTCTCTCTCTTGGGTCCTCCTCTCTAGGAGTATATCCAGTGCCTGCCTCTGCTCCGAGTTTGCCCAAGTATCAGCAGAGTGAAACTGACAAAATGCATGTCGGTATGAGGTTTCCCTCACCCATCTCATCAGCTCCTCTCTCCTGCTTTATGGGCAAGCTATGAGCAGCAGCAGAAGCACTGGTGCTGCCTGGAGATTCAGGAAGTCAGTACTGCAGTCAAATGCGAATGGTTCTCCCACTCCCTAAGGCAAGCGGGGGAGAAATGTTCAAGTCATGGTAGATCCATAACTATTCATGTAATGGGTTCTCTTTATTGCCTGGATTCCCTGCACTGCTTTTCTCCGAGCAGTTTGTACAATAGCATTCTGTCAGTATGCTGTTAACTACGCCGTGTGTGAGCTGTGGCCGTTTATTTACTTTCGCTAATTTGTAAATGTTTGTGCAGCACTCTGAACCTGTAGCCACCTAGGACTCCGCAAGCACTGCTGTGCTGCAGAGCAGAGCTACGGGGATCTTCATGGCAACACTGCGATAGAACTAGGGTGATCAGACAGCAGGTGTGAAAAATCGGGCTGGGGGTGGGGGGTATAAGAGCCTATATAAGAAAAAGACCCAAAAATTGGGACTGTCCCTATAAAATCGGGACATCTGGTCACCCATAGAACTGAGCTCTTCTGGCGTAGGCCCTTACACCATGAGCTAAAGAGATCTTCAGTTACCCCAGACACAGGTGAGCACTTCAGAGTTCCTCCAGTAGAGGGCAGTAGTGTATACACCCCAGCCAGTTCATTACAATATAAGTAGGGCCGTACCAAATTCACGGCCATGAAAAACTTGTCACGGGCCGTGAAGTCTCTCCCTGTGGAATCTGGTCTTTTGTGTGCTTTTACCCTATACTATACAGATTTCACTGGGGAGACCAGCTTTCTCAAATTGGGGGACCTGATCCAAAAGGGAGTTGCGGGGAGGAGAGGAGGGGTTGCAAGGTTATTTTAGGGGGGGTGCGGTATTGCCATCCTTCCTTCTGCGCTGCCTTCAGAGCTAGGCAGCCAGAGAGTGGTGGCTGTTGGCCAGGTGCACAGCTCTGAAGGCAGCGCCCCACCAGCAGTAGCGCAGAAGTAAGGGTGGCAATACCATACCATGCCATCCTTACTTCTGTCTGCACTGCTACTGGCAGCATGTCTGCCTTCAGAGCTGGGCTCCTGGACAGCAGCTGCCACTCTCTAGCTGCCCTGTTCTGAAGGCAACGCCGCCCTCTGCAGCAGCGCAGAAATAAGGGTAGCAGTACCATGACCCTCTCTAAAATAACCTTGCGACCCCCACCCACAACTCCTTTTTGGGTCGGGACCCCTACAATTACAACACTGTGAAATTTCAGATTTAAATATTTGAAATCATGAAATTTCAGATTTTTCAAATCCTATGACCATGAACTTGACCAAAATGGACCATGAAATTGGTAGGGCCCTAAATATAAAGCTCTGTGCAAGTGCTAAGCATTGCTGCTACCGAGCCCACTTAAGTAGTGCTAAACAGGTGATAGCTGCCATGCCGGTGCACCCCCTGCTTGCACATTTCCATTTTGTCCCCAAGGCTGCATGCCGAGGTCTGAACCTGCAGTTCTCCTAGGTGATCAGTGCATGGGGTCCTCAGCCTCGAATGCACAAAGCACTGCTTTCTTCAGCTCCCTGCCAGACTTGTCCAGCACTGTGACCCATGAACCCCTCACTGCCGCTGGCAAGGGGGCAGGGGCGACTCTAGCTTTTTTGCCTCCCCAAGCACGGCAGGCAGGCTGTCTTCGGCAGCATGCCTGCGGGAGGTCCACCGGTCCCGCGGCTTCGGCGTACCCACCGCCGAATTGCCGCCGAATCCGCGGGACTGGCGGACCTCCCGCAGGCAAGCCGCCGAAGGCTGCCTGACTGCCGCCCTCACGGCAACCAGCAGGCCGCCCCCCGTGGCTCGCCGCCCCCCCGTGGCTTGCCGCCCCAGGCACGCGCTTGAAGTGCTGGTGCCTGGAGCCGCCGCTGCAAGGGGGTCACAGGAATATCCCGTGTCAGACGTGTACACTCTGGTTCACCAAAGAATGCCATGTGAGGTCTCCAATGCAAGCTGCTGGCACACTGCTTAATAATATCATTATGAAATGGATGGACAGACACTACGTATAGAGTGATGTTTATAGACTGAAATTATGGTCTGAGAGTCTGCAGCTTAAGTCATCAGCAGAAGCAAAAACCAGGTTTTTGTCAGACAAGAGATGTTTATTCACCTCTCTCACTGTCAGAATGTAAACTAAGCATCGTGGGCTAACACGATGGATGCCCATTTACCAACGAAGTCAGAGCTTAACGAAGAGATGTGAAATCAGCAGGAAGGGAGCACACAGGAGAAAACAAGCCACATTGTCTACAGACAACAAACTTTGCAGGTATATTTAAAGGCAGAGACAGCACCTCTGCATCCTGCACGTAGGAAGTGAACGGACAGTGCGTCCACGTTTATGAAAGCGCTCAGAGAGGGCTCGGGGGCTGGCGAGCGCCGTTCACTAGCCTGCACTGAGAGCGCAAGCCCTGCAGGGGCCTGGCAGGCAGTGATTGTGTTGCCAAAGGCAGTGGATTCAGGTTGCTGATTCACAGCAGGCAGAGAAAAGGCTGCCTGGCTAAGGGCAGGTGGTAGTGGGGAACTTCACAACGGTGGGTAGCCTAGGGAGTGTCACAGGCACACAACACGAGACTGAAGTGTCACGGAAATCCAGGATCTTATTGGGAAGGTAACTGTCCCTTCTGGCGAGCCGCCTCTCCCCCATGCTGAGAGCAAGGCAGACCATCACGTTACTTCACCAGCAGCCCTTTTCTGCCTTTCTGATTCTCACCATGTCATTTCCACGCCACAGATTCCATGTGGACTGGCACTGAAGGGACCCAAAGACGCCATGTTCCCTGAGGGCAGAAAATTGAACAGCTCTGTAAGTTACACATAAATCAAATGCTGGCCCTTGGCTTACACACAGCCGTTGCTACTCATGCCCATTAACGACTGGCTCCTCACCCCCCTGAGGGGCAGACTGTTCCCCTTTTACCCAGGAAGGAACTGAGATAGTGCAAAGGTAGGTGCCGTGCCCAGTTCAAACCTAGGAGCTTAGAGTTCCAAGCTCCTTGGTCGGTCTGCTGCTAGGCCATGCTATTCCTGGCAGTGCTCTCTGCCTACAGCTAAGCTCCTGGCAGCTGATATCTCCTATGCTGGGGATTTGTCCGAGAGGCTGACTTCAAAGTAAAGTCGCTGTGCTGCAGATTGGGGCTGTCTGGGGAAGCTTATTATGAGCACATATGAGAGTAGAAATGAGCTGGTGAAACAGTAGGCAGGGCCGGCTTTAGGGCGATTCAGCCGATTCCCCAGAATCGGGCCCCGCACCCCTAAGAGGGCCCCGCAACATCCCGAAGGAGCTGCCGCCGAAGTCCCGTCACTCTCTTCGGCAGCAGCTCAGTCGCTGCCGCGAGGAAGGTCCTTCCCAAAGTGCTGCCGAAGGCACCGGCAGCCGATTGAGCTGCCACCAAAGTCCCAGCACTGTCATCATCGGCAGCTCAATCGTTGCCGCTGTCTTCAGCGGCATTTTGGCGGAGGATCCTTCCTCCGCAGCAGCAATTGAGCTGCCGCCGAAGACAGCGGCGGGACTTCAGCGGCAGATCCTTCAAATTGGGCCCCGCGGTGCCTAAAGCCGGCCCTGACAGTAGGGCATGTGCCAAGATGATCAACAAGGGAGTGCTGGGGTTGGATGGCCAGGGATGGGGCGGGGGAGGTGTTGGTGACTTCATATGGGTTCCATCCACCCCAGGCAGTAATCACCTGTGTTTAGCCTCACACAGTCAGGCAGGAGCTGGTGCAGGGCTGTCTCATGAAGATGTTCTCTGCTCCTACTCAGGGTTATGAGTAGTTCTCTCCTTGGTTATTCCAATCAGCACATGCACGGCGCACATCAAAGGCTGAGGTTTGACTGGTGCAGCTTATTCGGAGCGGCCTCACAGTACCAGAGTAATAGGGGACATACGGGAAGATTTTCAAAAGCAACAAAGTCACTTAGGAGCCTAGATCCCACTGGAAGCCAATGGGGCTTTAGAAAATCTTAACCACAGAGTGACAGCCTTTCCCTCCCTCCTGCTCTTCACCAAGGGCCTGATCGACCTGCCACTGAGGTCATGGGGGTCTTCCCATTTCCTTGGAGCAGGCTCAGAGCGAGCGGGACCCTTCAGTGATGTCCCTTTAAGGAGAGAAGGGATGGAAAGTTGGCAGCCAGAGAGTTCCATGGCCACTGGATCTGCAGAGAAGAGAAGAAGGTAGGGGCAGCAGCCAGATCCCTGGGCCATGGGAAAGTCCTGTGGCTGTGCAGGACTCTGGAGTGTGCTGAGGACCATCTCTGGCTGGCCCAAAACAACCCATCCCTTATGGAAAAATTCTACAGAATTTAACAGGGATGGACCCAGCAGGGTGCTACAGAAACGACTCTAAACAACCTGCAGAACTGAAGGGAGAACCAGATTGCTGCTGTAGACTCCCATAGCATTTCCATAAAAGTCTACAGAAATGCTCCCTGAGGGATGGAGCGCACAGGGAAGGATGGAATCGAGACTCTCGTCCATCTGTCCTGCCCAGAAGAACCCCAAGCTGTCAACCCTGCTGAACTTCAAACAACACAAGGACCCATGTGGCTTGGGTGGGGGAAGGAAAATACAAGAAGAGGACTCTGGAATATTCTACATTGTCAGGGTAAAGCTGCAGCGTGGAAGAAGAGGGTTTATTTCCTGTAAGTGGGCTTCCTATGGCTTGTGTTCTACATAATAAAAACAGAAAATTACTTTGAACTGAGTGTCATAAAAGTAAGAATTCTAGAATGAGGATTTTCCTTCAGACAGATCAGCCTGTAAATTACTCTACGTGTGCTTTTCTCACCAGGAAAGACAACCTTAAGCTGACAAAATGTTCTGAATAAAATCCCCCTTAATGATCCCACTTTCGGGAAGATGTGTGCTTGTTACCGCAGTAGACCACACAATATCAAAGCCCTGCCTCTGCACAGATTTTTTCCTAATAGACCTGGATCTGTTTGCCACAATCTTCTCTAAATTCACCTATCTCTACCCCCAGTTGATTTATTTCCTAGGAATATTATTTTGCTGACGAGAATTGATGCGTTTTTATAATTGAGGGGCATAATTTCATCTGTTGGAGCTTGTGTAACACGCACCAAAATCATAGGGATAGCTCAGTGGTTTGAGCATTGGCTTGCTAAACCCAGGGTTGTGAGTTCAATCCTTGAGGGGGCCACTTAGGGATCTGGGGCAAAATCAGTACTTAGTCCTGCTAGTGAAGGCAGAGGGCTGGAGTTGATGACCTTTTGGGGTCCCTTCCAGATCTATGAGATAGGTATATATACACATTACCACTAGTCATGCTTTATAAATGCATAGCATAATTATTCATAAAAATAAATACACACTATTTTGAAATACATGCACTCCACAATGAAATGCAGTTACTTATCTAGTCAACACACCTATATATACACTATATATAGAAATCCATACAGTATGGTGGATAATCAGCTGAACATGAGCCTCCAGTGCACCACTGAGGCCAAAAGGGCTAATGTGATCCTGGGATGCATAAACAGGGGAATCTCGCATTGGTGCAGAGAGGTTATTGTGCCTCTGTATTTGTCACAGGTGTGACCGCTGCTGGAATCCTGTGTCCAGTACTGGTGCCCACAGTTCAAGTAGAATGTTGATAAATTGGAGAGGGGTCAGAGAAGAACCACAAGAATCTATTTAGCTTAACAAAGGGTACATCCAGACTACCCGCCTAATCGGTGGGTAGTAATCGATCTATCGGGGATCGATATATCGCGTCTCATCTAGACGTGATATACCGATCCCCGAACGTGCTCCCGTCGACTCCAGAACTCCACCAGGGTGAGTAGTGGTAGCAGAGTCAACGGGGGAGCTGCGGCTGTCAATCCCGCGCCGTGAGGACCCAAGGTAAGTCGAAATAAGATACGTCGACTTCAGCTACACTATTCCCGTAGCTGAAGTTGCACATCTTACATCGACACCCCCACCCCAGTGTAGACCAGCCCAAAGAGAAGGTTATCGGGTGACTATTATGGTCAGTACCTACATGGGGAACAAATATTTAATAATAGGCTCTTCAATAGAGGAGAGAAAGGTCTAACATGATTCAATGGCTGGAAGTTGAAGCTAGACACATTCAGAATGGAAATAGGCATACATTGTTAACAGGGAGGGTAATTAACTATTGGATCAATTTACCAAGGGTCAGGATGAATGCACCATCACTGGCAATTTTTCAGTCAAGAAGGGGGTTTTTTCTAGAAGATCTGCTCTAGGGATTATTTGTGGGCAGTTCTCTGGTCTATGCTACGCAGGGGGTCAGACTAGATGATCACAGTTGATCCCTTCTGACCTTGGAATCTACAAATATAGTGAAACATACATAGTGAGAATGTGCGGAGACCATAGGCACCAACTGTCTGGGTGCTCTGGGCCTGGAGCATCTACAGAAAAAAAACAGTGGATGCTCAGCACCCACCAGCCACAGCTGATTGGCGGCTTGGGGAGGGCGGAGAGCAGCAAGCAACCAGTGGGCGGGAGCCTTGGGGTGGGGGCGAAGCGGGGGGTCGGGAAAAGGTGGACTGAGGGCAGGGCCTAGGGGAAGGGGCAGAGCAGGGGCAAGAAGAGGCAGAGCAAGGGCGGGGCCTTGGGGAAAGGGGCGGAGTGGAGACGGAGCCTCGGGGCGGAGCAGGGGTGGAGCATCCCCAGGGAAAAATAAAAGTCGGCACCTATGGCGGAGACTCTCTGATGAGAAGCACTGATCTCCTCAGCAGACAAGTGTCAGCTCCCTTTCAACTGTCAGCTGTTGCTTCTACCTTGGGGCTGCAGCCCTGAACAGCTAGAACGAACTGTTGGTCACTGAAAAAGGCGCCTGCATTGTCATTTGAAAAGGGATTTAGTTTCTTATCTTCAGACACTTCATCAGTGTAAAATGCAATGAGACTGACTGCCCTGGGCTGGCTGCTCTTCTAGATCAGAGCACCCTGCAGCCACGATTTGCATTATACTGAAGTGTGCTGGAGTGAGATTGTCTGACTGCTGCCCTGTCAGCCCCCAGAGACCATCCTCACAGAGAGACGTGTCTCTCCAAAGGCCATCCAGGGAGCAGATGAATATCACATACGCATGCACCCAGCTCGTGTGAAGAGAGGAAGAAGATAATCATAATCCTCAGCACTTCCATAGCTCGGTACCCTGTCAAGGCACTTTGCCGACAGGGCTGTAGACTCACAGTGCTCCGCAGGTACATAAGGCATATTATCCTCAATTTACAGATGGGGAAACTGAGGCACAGAAAGGCGCCAGGAAATGACTTGCCCAAGCCATATGGAGTCACGGAATTTAGTTAATTTCTGAAAAAACATACACTATGTGTGTCTAGGCACACGCTGTATAACAAAACGCGCCTATTACGTGGGCAAGCTGAACTCCATGCAACATACAGGGTGTGTGTAATACTGGCTTCTGAAGGTGCTGTCAGTCACAGGACTCTAGACATGGTCACAATAACTCTGACCCATGGGAAACCAAGCAACCCTCACTTCAACAGCAAAATGTCACCTTTCAGTGTGGTGCAAGTGGCCTTTACCCCACTGAAATTACTGGCATTTCACCCATTTATGCTAGGGCTGAATTTGGCTCTGGGACAGGCCCCTGCTTACTCCATTTTCAAGCTTTGTTTCCCTTCCCAACCACTTCCCAGGTACAAATCTCTTTCATCGACTCCCATGTCTGCTTTGCCATGTGGGGGATAAAACCACTGCCAGTGAGCAGCTTTGTCAGGGTGCGAATTGGGGAGCAGGCCAATGAGCAGCAAGCTCCCCAGGGTATGGGTTATAGCAAATGAAAGAGCAGTGCAACTACTGAGCTCTCCCCACACAGAGAGACCAGTTGAACTCTTCTCTTCACTACAGCTGGTGCTTGCTTGACATGCTCCTTGCCTACCCCCACCCCCAAGCAAAGAGAGGGCTTGCATGATGGGGGGTTTATGCAGTGCTAGGTAAAGCAGAAGGCAGATTACAGAGAACACAGCAGGGCATCCCAGAGCCCCAGGCATGAAGATTACCACTGCCCAGGGGCTGTACCCAGCTCCAGCTGGTGGTTGTACACATCCCCCTGCCAAATGAAGGATACCAGGCCCACATCTCAGGGAAATATAGGGCAGAGCAAACCAGCAGGAAAGGAAGAGCCCAAACTATTCAGACATAAATAGAAGTGATGAAAACAACGACCCAGCCCACCAGTCGCTAGCACAGCTTTGCCCGTGGAGAACATGGGTCTTCCCATCCTCCTGCTCCAAGAATGTCTCAGACTGAGCATGTCCAGCTCCCATCTAGGTGATTCCAGAGAGTCAGAGATTCCAAGGCCAGAAGGGATCGCTGGGATCATCTAGTCTGTGTAACACAGGCCAGAGACCTGCCCCCAAATAATCCCTAGAGCAGATCTGTCAGAAAAACCTCCAATCTGGATTGAAAAATTGCCAGTGATGGAGAATCCCCCACGACCCTTGTAAATTGTTCCAATGATGAATCACCCTCCCTGGTACAAGTTTTGGGCCTTATTCCAAACTAAATGTGTCTAGCTTCCGCTTCCAGCCACTGGATCAACCTCTGTCTGCCCCAATCCCCAGGGTTTCTGTGGGTGCTTGAGCCCTGAAGCACCCACGGGGTTGGCGCCTATGTGTAATCCTCAATGTCAGGTAGGGCAGGGCTGTTATCCGCACTGTACACGTGGGAACTGAGGTGCCGAGAGACTCGGTGATTTGCCTAAGTGCAGGCAGGGACCTGTGACAGAGCAGAGATCTAGCTGTCTTCACTCCCAGGCTCGCCCCCTAACCCCTGTCTGCTTCCCAGCCCATCCAGCCTTAACTAACAGACCCTCCTGGCTGAGCTCCCTTCACGTCGTGGATTCTATGTCTGCACTGGGATTTCTGTGGATGCGCTAGTGGGAATGCCAGGAAATGGCTCCCCATTGTCTAACAATGTCCTGAGCAAATGACCGGTCTCCACTACGGCTTCCCAACGATCCTTCCACTGGTGGAGCCACAGCACCACTAGACTCGATTGCCATCAAGCCCTCAGTGTAGACAAGACCAAGCTGGCGCCGGGACTCCTGTTCCAGAAAGGTGCTACCCAGACAATGAAGGTGAAAAGAGGAGGAGCCACTGGAACAGAGGGTGTCCCTGAATCTCTGCTCCTGCCTCACAGCTCCCCTGGGCTGACATGCTGCTGCTACGGCGTTACCAAGCTCTGCAGCCATCAAGGTCACAGATCATCATTGTCCATGTCTCCTGCAGGTCATCATTCAGGCCCCATCACTAGCCTGTCAGACCAGGGGCAAACCTCGGCAGGGAGGGGCAGAGGAATTCAGAGTCAGGTTCCAGGCCAGGGTCGATGCCAAGGGTCAGAGTCCGAGTCAGGAGGCAAAGTCCAAATCAAGCCAAGGTCAGGCCAGGAAAGGTCATGGCTGCTACAGGAGATGCACACCATTGCCTGGACACTTCCTGGAAATCCCCTGGGGTTTATAGAGGGCCGGGAGCCAATCAGGAGTCCATGGGGCTGCTGTCCATCAAACCCTTGAGGTGGAACTTCCCATGGTCTGTGTCCACAGATGGTCATGGGAAGTGCAGCACAAGCTAGTTATAGCTCTGCATGCCTGGGTCCTAAACCCGTGGGGCCTTACAGACCCTACCCCGAGGAACAGCTTCACTGTGTCATTTACACAGTCCCACAGAGCTTGCAACTGTGTGCACATGTGCATGGTGGCAATGGAGTGGCATTCGAGGACCCTTCACTCACTCCTCCTGCAGGGAGCACTAAACTCCCGGGGGCTCCTAGCTTGGGCGGGACAGCAGCAAGTTCTATTCTCACTTGGCATAATTCTCTCCATACAATGGCTTTGAGGACTTCCCGCTCGTCTCAGAGTGCCCCACCCCAGACAGACAGGGGAGAGAGATTCTAGCTGGGTACCACTGACAACTGACGATGCTTCACCCTACGCTGGAGCCTTTCACCCAGATCACTTCATAATCCTTAACTGGGCCTGGCAGGGAAGTAGCTTTGTCTCCATTTCACAGAGGGGGAAAGCCAAGCACAGAGAGATCAAAGGGGCTTGCTCCAGTTCATAGCCCGGAAGTCAGGCACAGAACCCAGGTATCCAGCCTTAACCCCTAGGTGATACAACTTCACACTTTGCATGGAACTCACCTATGCAATTAACCCCTTTTGTCAGCCTAGTCTGAAG